GATTTTTGAAACGATCGATAATGTTTTAAACATCGATGTTGCAGTATTAAATGCTTCCAAGTCTTTTGGTGTTATCGAAAAAATGTTGGGTGTCGTTGACATGCTTATAGAAAAATTGGCGAACAATAAATTTGAAGGTATCATCAAATATAAAAATGTTGGAGCTGCCATTCAAAAGGTTTTTAAATCTACAAGAAAATTCTACCAAAATAAAACTGAAGTTGAAGTTACAATAAAAGATGATGATGGAAATGAAAAATTAGGTAAATATCTCAAATTTTTACTTTTTTACATGTTTTGAAAATAAATGTATTATAGTTAAATATCTGCAGAGATAGATTTTCTATATAGTTCCATCAAATTAAAACTAATTTGCTTGTACCAATCAAACAGAATATTTTTAAAGTATTTACCAAAAAAAAACATTTTTTTTTTGTTGTTGAAAGTCATTACATAATAATGACTTAAGATTAATAAAACAACATAATATGCTTATATACATATAATAACTGGGTCCACATGATGCGCAAACTGGTTCGCCACTTCAAAGAAAATGCGGTGTTTCTTAAAAGCCTCGTTCTTATCGAAGTGCGGTTTAGCGTTGTCCTATTTAATAAAAATAGATGTACGACTGTTAGACTGAGGCGTTTCTAGAGTCCCAGCTGGACGATTTTTACTGCTACGTTTGGCTGGTTCTTGTTTTGTAAATGGCCAAATGCCTAATTTCCCATCAAAGCGCCGATTACGGCAATTGTCCCACCATAGGCGAGCAGCAGCAGCCAAAAACATAACCTTTGTGATGAATCTCTTATTTTTGCATGTTTGATACGGATCTATCTAACCCTGAGTGATTTCTCATATTCTTAAAATTAGGTGCATCAGCGGCGTTGCTACCACAATCAAGTATTGCCAAGCAGTATTCCAAACGCTGAAATTTGTTGCGATTTCATCCATTCAGATTTAATACTTCGGTGAATTGTTCTTTTCAACATTCTAATAGCATGTGCCATTGATCGAATATTTTTGTAATGACGAATGGCCACTTCCTTTATTTTTTCTTCTACGGTTTTATGCTTCCTGCCGATTTTTCCAGGCTTCCCGTAAGGCTTGCTGACCTCGATGCCAAATTCAACTTATAATCTTTTCTGACACAGAATATCGAGCGACTGCATTTTTTGTCGAACCATGTTTCAGTTTACCATTTATACTTATCTCTCGTAAATAATAGTACAGACTTTGACACATTTTTTGTGTTAGAGTAGACCTTTTTGTGTTGCAATATCTGCAACTTCTTCATGTTCGATTATGTGGTCACATTTTAAAGTATCTAGTCAAACGTCAAGTTGCTGTTAAAGCTTTTAGTGACATTTGCATATTGTTGTTTTGAAAACTACAAAACTACTCTTCTTGTCTTTTTAATGTCTACAAAATTTACTGTAACACCTTGAAGAGCATTGACGACAAGATCTATTTCGTACGTTGCTCTTATGACCATGGTAAAATTTGACTGAGAGACTGTCAAATATAGCTGATGAATTTTCGTTTTTGTAGTTACGTTGCATCCTGCATTCCTAACATAATATTCAAAGCAATTATATTTATATTTTCGCAATTTTCGAAAAAAAATTTGAACGGTTTTATATTTTCTCGTGTTACATAAGTTTCTACTAATCTATGTAAAATACTTTCTTGAAAAAAGATTTAATTAGCAATTTACTTTATACTATAAGAACAATTTTGAAATTCCTAAACTGAGCATAAGTCATTATTATGCTCATAATAGCTCAGCTTATTATAGAAACTGTATTTTAATTAACAGGACTTAATAATCTTAATTTACATTTCTTAAAACGTAAGACTTAGTTTCTTGTTACTATATCCGCTATGTACTATTTTTAATGTAATGTTTGCACTATTACAAAACTCTACTACAAGATTAGCACAATCTACCGCCAAGCTAATACCCGATCACGATTTATTAGCTAGGTATAATAACCTTCCTACAGCTTATTGAAATGAACTATTGACATGAAATCAATTCATTCGCTCATAAAGAAAGCCTAACGTTTGACAATAATACTGGTTCAATATCTACTTTCAATTTAGAGTCTTTTCTCCATTATGGTAGCCCAAATTCATTTAAATTCATTTTGTTTCTCTCTTTATAAGCAATACTTCAGCTTCTACTTCTTTTTTTCCATTTGAGTCATCAATCTATCAGGGTTTTTATTTTTTATTTTCAAAAACAGCATCTCTTTTTTAGATTAACCAATTTTGAACGTGTACATCTGTTCCGAAAATTTGCAAAGCTTTTAATTTGATTTGTGTCTGTTTCACAGTTCGTTTGGTGTACTGTCTCTTGTTGTTAGTGCCCACTTACTCTAATAGCCTTCCTCCAAAAAACCATTGTTAGTTAAACATCACAAATTAAAGGACTTGCTTTCTCCATCAGTGTTCCCAGGTTCTTCATTGAGTTGGGTTATGTATGGTGTGGAGAAATCTAACGTTATACCGTTTGGTTTACACCAATTATTTATTTTATTGCTTGCATATTCTCTGCCATTATGAGACCTTATTACTTTTACCATTATAATTTTAATTAGCATCTCATTTCATATTATTGTAACATATGTGTAACTTCGTATAGTCCTTTTTGGATAAACTTCGATGTAGTGTGTGTAGTCATCTAAAAATATAAGCCCTTTTCCTCCCATGTAACTGGATATCTAAATCTGCAAACGTTGGTATATATTATTTCTAACACTTGTTTAGCTCTTTTTATTTTTACTTTAACATCTTTGAATATTATGTTACCTCCTTTTTTTTGCACTGGTGTTTGTGCAATTCTGGTTCTGTGGTACTCACAGAATCCGCATATAGTCATTATAACGTTTGAAAGCCACGAAGATCTACGATAGGGAGATAAAATGTGTTTGCTTTTAAACATTTCCCCCAGTTAGTACAAAATGCAGGACTCTGAACATTGGAGCAATATTCAACATGTAATCGCAGATCATGCCATTCGCCGGTGACATAGATATTGACATAGAAAACGAGGTGAAGGAGGCCTTTACGAGATTTTAAAACGTAGCGGAGGCATAAAGATAAATTTTACAAAGACCATGGTGGCAAAGGCTGACAGATACCAACACATTTGATGAGCGATAACAAGATAGAGAATAATAAAAATTCTGTCAGCGAGGAAATAAAGAAGAAAATAGTCCTGGCCAACAAATACTTCCATCAAAACACCTTCACATCTAAATTAAACAATTAATTAACCAAGAGATAGTAAGGAGATTCGAGAGGAAGAATATATGGCGCTGTTAATGACAACCGTATCTGGCATAGGCGTTACAACTTCGTTACAACTGGCGTTGGTTCTCAAAGGTCTAATTTTAACATTTTGTGATTTATGCTATTTTACTATAAACTGGTGGTAGCGAAATATGAAATAAATATGGATTATGATTTCTTGATGCGTTAGGAATATCTTTTATTCATAACATCTTTCTCCATCAGTTTTAGTACTTACGTTATAGTTGATTCTATTAAGAATAATCATCCAATTTTGACATATTCTGATTTATGCTATATCACTACAAACTGGTAGATAAATATGAAATAATTATGGATTATGATTTATTGATGCATTAGGAATATTTTTGATTCATAACGTGTTTCTTCATCAGTTTTAGTGCTTACGTTATAGATACAAATGAAATAAGTATGGATTATAATTTTTTGGTGGACTAGGAATATTTTTTATTCATAACGTTTTTCTTCGTCAGTTTTAGTATTCACGATATAGTCGATTTTATTAAGAAAAATCATCCAATTTGATTATTTTGTGATTTTTGTTATATCACTAGAAACTGGAGATAGATACATATGAAATAAGTATAAATTATGTTTTATTGATGCATTAGGAATATTTTTTATGCATAACATCTTTCTCCATCAGTTTTAGTACTTACGTTATAGCTGATTCTATTAAGGAAACTCGTCCAATTTTGACATCTTGTGATTTATGCTATATCACTAAAAACTGGTGATACATAAATATGAAACAATTATGGATTATGATTTATTGATGCATTAGGAATATTTTTTATTCATAACATCTTCAGCAGTTTTAGTGCTTACGTTAAAGTCAATTTTATTAAGAAAAATCGTCCTATTGTGACATTTTGTGATTTTTGTTATATCACTACAAACTGTCATATATATTATATCTATATATGAAATAAGTATGAATTATGATTTCTTGATGCACTAGGAATATTTTTGATTCATAACGTCTTTCCCCATCAGGTTTAGTGTTTACGTTATAGGAAATTTTATTAAGAAAAATCGTCCAATTTTGACATTTTGTGAATTTTGCTATATCATTAGAAATTGGTGATAAATACAAATGAAATAAGTATGTATTATGATTTATTGATGCATTAGGAACATTTTCTATTCATAACGTCTTCATCAGTTTTAGTACTTACGTTATACTTGATTTATTTATTTTAGGAACCAGTTGTAACATGTATTTGGAACTATTACAACATATAAATTGTACCTGTTCCCCAAAAATACTAGTTTATAACATCTCTAGTTATCTTATTATTCGTTTATTTGTGGTTATCTTATATAGGAGCAAATTAAGGCAGCAGAACAGTTAATTCGTGAAATGTTATAAAATATACGAGAATAATTAAATAATCGTTTTATGGAATACAACACTTTGTTAAAAGCATTAAAAAGTTAAAAAAGCGTAGACTCCAACAAAGAGCTATAACAGCTATAACAAAGCAAGGAATAAATTATCAATCTTCCACGAAAAATAACTTACATTTTGAATATTTTATATTAATTCGTATGAATAAACTAATATAACTATCACTTTTGTTATAATTTAATCATTTTCTTAAATTAAATTCCGCTTTGTTATCTATACACGTCATGCGGTATTGGTTATATTTTTTTCCTCTTTTATACTTTATGTTTTAATCGTTTTGTTTCTACGGTAACTGTTTAAAGCATGTGTAATTACACGGTTTTTTTTCTTTTTTGCGTAATAAGTTATGTAAGTATAATATTTTTTAAATAAAGGAAGTAAACGTTAATTAAAACATTTCGGTCATACATTTATAGGGTAACGGGGTTCCAAATATTTTCAAGAATGTATTTGATTTAGAATGTCCGAGTGGTTTTTTATTAAATGAGAGAAAAACGCACTGTTTATTACAAAAGACATCTCAAATGAAGACATGTCCAAAATTAATTGATCTTAATATTACTTATTCTTTAATTCCGAAAACTTCATTAGTAAAAGTAGATAACGAACGTAAATCGAACTGTAATTATTCTTGGGAAGATTTTTTTAAAACTGCCTCTGAAGACAACGACGTTACCGTAAACTTAATATTTTCAAATCTTCAACAACCATTCGAATTGTATTTGGATGTTACCACTAAACGGCCAATAAATGATATAGAAAAGAAAATTCATTGTTGGGTCTACAATAAAAACACACCTGTCCATGTTAGTTTTATTAAAAAATATTCAGATTCCCTGACATCAAGATACCGTGTGGAAATAAATGAAAACTTTCAACAATATGTATGTTATTTCTTGGATGCCGGTAGAATACCTTTAAATTATACATCCCGATTTGCAAGTACAAGTGCTAATTACATATTTAACGCCAAAATTCATAGAATTCCATACCAATCTTGTGCAGAACAATTAAGTAAAGATTTCAACGTCTATAGTACGAATTTAAAAAATTATATAAGGATTGTTGGAATGTCTTCAAAATTGACAATAATGGAAGCTCTTCGTGAATTTAAAAATAAAATTCCTTATGGTATATGTAAAGATAACGTAACTGATATAACCAATAACGAATTTTGTTTGCCAATCACAACTCCCGTCATTGGAATGAACAAATTCGTTTATTGGCCAGTAACTCGAGCTGGACAGGAAGCACTCTCAAACGGTATTTGTTTTGACACCAATGGTAAACCGCTTACAAGAGAATGTATAAAATCAAGAAGCACAGCATTCGGTGAATGCCAATGGTCCGAACTGGAACAAAACTGTAGCAATTCTCATTCACCAATAAATACCGCCTTCGAAAATATTTTAGACCATAACAACATAACCGATTCAGAATTAACACAAATTTCTGATCGGATTAAAAATAACGCAGTAAACGAATACGAAGTAGATTATATAACTAAAATTTTATCAGCAGCCGTTTACACTTCCGGCGAATCAGCGATTCTTGAAACGATCGATAATGTTTTAAATGTCGATGATAAAGTGTTAAATGCTTCGAAATCTTTTGGTATTACCGAAAAAATTTTTGATAACGTTGATACGCTAGTTCGAAGATTGGTGAAAAATCAATCGGAAGCATCTATCAATCATAAAAATATTGGAGTTATCGTTCAGAAAGTTTTCCCGTCAACAGAAATAGACGACAAAAATAAAACAGAAGTTGAAGTTACAGTAAAAGATGATGATGTAAAAACCACATTAGGTAAATATTTAAAATTTTTTATTTTTAATCTTTAAATATGTGGTGTAAAAAATCTAAACGGTTTTTGAAAAATCATTTTAGTTTATAATAGTTTATAATATAGAACTATGAGTTCAATCTATTACTACATATAATGTAAAGATTTCATGTTTATTACCCAAATTTATTCAGAGCCATATAAGACAGCCACTGATAAACGAATGATTAGTTAAGTTTTCACTTCATGTAAGTTAGGAAGCTTAAAATTTTATATGAACGTTTCATTTGGACTTTTTTCAACGTATAAGCTTTATTTTGGGAGCTGAGGCAGCTTTGCTGTCGAGGCAGTGAGAGAGTATTTAGTAGTAAAATAAGGCATCCCAGATATTCGAATTCTGTAAATTCGATTTTGCCAAGGCAGTGGTTCATAATCATTATTATCATCTACTGGTGCTACAGTCCTGTTGAGACCTTGGCTTCCCTAAGAATGTCCTATGAATACCTATCAAGAGTTTTAAGTATCCACCCTTTGATCTGTTAGGTACTTGTTCTTCTTAATCGTCCATGTAGCGTAGTTCGAAAATTGTTGCAGACCTTGTATGTCATGTTCAAACCTTCGTACAACCTTCTCGAGTGCCAGGTTAAAAAGTATACAAGATACTGCATCCTCGTGTCTTATGCCCTGAAGTATGTCAAATTGTTTATCCATATTTGGACCAACATTTACTCCGCTTGTTATTCTACTTATTGTGAGTTTAACAAGATCTACGAGGTGCCGTGGTGTAAACTATTTATCATAATTTAATTCGTTTTTGCACATTTTAACATAAACAGAGATATTAGGATTGTTGTGAACTATGAGGTAACAAATTGGAGTGCCTATGTGCTCTTATAATTAACACCAGTGTCTGCAGCGAAGATAAAAAGGCGCCTAGCTATGGCGAAAGCGACCACAATAAAACTAACCAAAATTTGGAAACACCGAGTTATTACTGGAAATACCAAGGTGTTGCTTGCTAAGACATTAATTTTTTCCATCCCCACGTACGCACCAGAAATATGGATATTAAAGAAGAAAGAGCAAGTGAAGATCGAAGCTTTTGAGATGTGGATCTACAGCCAGTTACTAAAACTGTTATGGACGAAGCACAATACAAACGTTTCAATATTGAACGAACTTAAGCTACTTTGGATACCTAACGAGGTAAACTGGAAAGATGAACTGTTGTTGTAGAAGGAGAAATGTAGGACGAAAGCGCACAAAATTTGGACAAAAATAATCATGCCCAAAGACATGAAATGATTTGTCGAAGAACATTTCTATATTATCAAATTTATTTAAGAATATGTTGTGGAGCATTACGATTTTGCAAGAAATTGCGAATGTTGTAGATGTTTTGTTCTAACTCTGTAATCGTTGGTTCTGGCAGATGGATATAATTTTGATTCCTTATACCGTCGGCGTTATCTTTCTGGTCATTATTATTGTTTTCGTCTTGAATTTGTGCTGAAGTAATAATTTTTTCGTCTGTTAAGACCTCTGCAAATTATGTCGTCTTCAATACGAAAAAATTTCTTATCCAACATTACATTAGTTAAATCAGACACTACTTCAAGTGCATTCTCGTCACGTCTATTATTTCTAGCTAGAGCTTCTTATAACTAAACACTTAAAGAAAGTTCGCTTTCAAAATCGACATCCTCTTGGTTTCTAACCCAACTCACCATGGATGAATCTGTAGCGTATTGTTTATGCGGACACATTTTCTGCCACGCCACGTGAATAACGTTCACCGCATCCAAAAGATTTACGCGAAAATTTTGATCACCATTATCAACATACGGTACCGCTCTTTAAACTATGAATTACTCCTTGATCTAGACAGGAATGTTTCTGTTCCGGAAGCTTTTTTTGTGCCAGTAAAAGTTGTTGCTACCAAAACAGAGGTTCTCTCTCTAGATAGTTTTTTACCTGTATATATTTCGTTGGTGATTCATAATGTTCGATCTGGTGTTAATTTATAGACCCGATTGTTTTTGTCTTCATAATTATTCCGTATTTGTGGCCATTTTTTTGTAACCAATTATTCACCACGTCTATGCCCACTGCAGCGGCTTCACAATCTTTCCAGTTTTCAATCCATGACGTTTCTTGAACCGTCCAATCCAACTGCTTAACGCAAAACTCTTTCATTGTTGTTTCACCTTGTTACCACTTAAATTCGCCTTTGTAAACACCGTCAGAGATAACGAATGACGCCTTATAAGATACGAATGATTGCACTCCCAAATCATCGCATCGTCGTACGATTCGATTTTGAAGGATTCTCCGTACTTTTCATCTGAATGTACGCTATAAGTGTATCATCAGTTTGTCCAATATTGAATAGATGGTATTGCAGGGGCGTCAAGAAATCTCAGAGCGACGTTAGGTCTCATTTGCTAAAACACAAAACCTTTTTGGTTTTCTATTGCGACGGAGTTATCATACTCTTAACCTGCATGTGTCCTGTTCTTTCCAGCGCAAGATTACCTTTGAGGTTACCTTCATACATGGGAGTATGTGCTAATTTATAATTAGGTGGGTTCCGACCTTAGAATAACTTCATTGCTCCTGGCGAGTTTTCTCAGGTTGACAGTACATTCTTTGACCAGTGCGGATTCACACGTGTAAGCCTGAATTGCCTTCAAGGTGGCCCAACTACCCATAAAGATGTTTATCGATGTAGCTTTCTGTCCCTTATCAAGGTTCAAAACAGTGCAGAAGTTTATGGCAAAAACTTTATCTTGAAAAATGGTTGTATCAAAGATTAAGGGCAGTTTAATGCGGCTATTTGATCAACTGATGCTCATACCTACTCCGGATCCAACTGTCCTTGAAGCATCTGTGTACCAGGCAAGCACTCCTCTTTTGAATTGAGGCTCACCCTTCGTCCATTCTCGAAATTATCATCGACATGATCCGTTTTAATTTGAATCAAGTGGTTTAAACATGGATCCCTGATAATTTCGAGATGTTCTTTGATGTTACTCTGCATCAATCTAATAATGCAAATATGTACATCGGATCATGTCTATACGGAATTTTTATGCCTTTTACGTTTAGAGTTTTCTACCAATTAAGTTTAGAGTTTAGAAAATTTATGGACTCATAGGAGGTGTTATCAAAAGCACCCTCTATGTCTATGAATGCACATAGAGCTATTTATTTGGTTGTAATCATCTCCCCTACAATGCTCATCAAAACATGGAGGGCAGTAATTGTTGATTTTGCTTTCTGATAAGCATGTTGGCTTGGATGGAGTGGATTGGCAACAAACACAAATCCTCTTTCTATTTCTAAGATTTTAATGTTTAATAATATATTTTTTCTTTTTTTATAGTTCAAGTTAAATTATCGAATAAATTTTTAACGTCATTTGATTTATCTCAAAAGGATCAAGAGGAAATAATGATTTCAGTCGAAACTTATAACTCGAAGATTTTCAGCAACGAAGCAAACCTGCACCAAATAGAAGTAGATGTTACTTTGCATCCAAAAATTATATTTCGAAATAGATTTAAAGAACCTTTAAGTATATTTTTTACAACCAATAAACAAAACGTTTCTTGTGTATTTTGGGACGAGGTTACCAATAATTGGTTAACGACCGATGTAAACACAAAAATTATTAATTCAACTACAGTAGAGTGCCAAACATATCATTTAACTAGATTCGGCTTAATTATTGATGAGAAGTTTATAAATGTCAGTAAGGTTCATGAAATAATTTCCACAATTGAAACTGTTTTATCTTTTATTTGCGTTGTTATTATTTTATTTCTAGCAACGTTTTTTAGAAAATTTGCCGTTGAACGACCAAGAACTGTACATCTATCATTTATAATTTTGTTAGAAAATATATTAATTTTGGTTGAGGAATATGTTCCAGAAATTAAACACAATTTAAATTGTAAACTTATAGGAATATTTATACATTACATTGTATTGGTGAAATTTACTTTAACACTAATGATAACAAAAGCCCAACTAAATAACTTTGTGTATTTCATCGGATTGAAAAGAGCAGACAAATGCTTTACACTACAAGAAACCTTTACCGTTTGGGTTTTACCAGCATTTTTTATCTCCATTGGAGTGGTTGTATCTCACGATAAATATAAGCTCGGAAGGAATAACTTTTGTTATCCTAAAGAAGAATTATTTTATTACTTTGTTGTAGTTCCCATCGGAATAATAGTTTTGTTAAATTTCATTGCGCTTCTATTGATTTGCGCCAACCTCACATGTAGAAAAACCAAAACCGAAAAAGACTTAATTAATCAGTTACGTCTATGTATTATGTTAATATTTATGTTAGATATAGTCTGGTTATTAGGTGTTTTGGCCAATATTATTAATGAAGGAATATTACACGATATTCTTAAATATTGTCATTTCTTTATAGCCCCTTTACAAGGTGTATTAGTTTTTATTTTTACAGTTAATTCTTTTTTTAATTGTGGGCAAAACAATAATTCTTTTCAAATGTTTGGTATGAAAAACAACTAATTCTTTTTAAAGATAATTTTGTTGATTGTTTAAAAAATAGAATATAGATTAAGTTTTTAAATATAGTAAAACCTCGATATAACGGACCTCGTTAAAACAGACTTAAACCTGATTTAATCCCGATTATTTCTAGTTCTAGGTCTAGTGTTAGTTCTAGTGCTAGCGTTAGCTCTATATAGTTGTAGTTGTTATTCAGAGTTGGGTTATTGTATATTTTATTGAACTAAAACTAGATCTAGAGCTAGTAATATTCGGCTTTAGCCGCCTTAANCTAGAACTAGAAACATTCGGGTTTAGCCGCACGTCTCATAAGACGGCTAACCCCGAATGATTCCAGTTCTAGGTCTTGTGTTAGTTCTAGTGATTGTGCTAGTGCAAAACTAGAACTAACACTAGACCTAGAACTAGAAACATTCGGGTTTAGCCGCACATCTCTCAAGACGGCTAAACCCGAATGATTGTAGTTCTTGGTCGTGTGTTAGTTTTAGTGACAGTGCTATTGCAAAACTAACACTAGACCTAACACTACAAACATTCGGGTTTAGCCGCCCGTCTCTCAAGACGGCTAAACCCGAATGATTCTAGATCTGGGTCTTGTGTTAGTTCTAGTGATAATGCTAGTGCAAAACTAGTTTTAATGAGTAATAATACTGAGTTCTAGTTTTAATTGTTATTCAGTGATAAATTCTTGTATATTTTGTATAGTCTAGAACTAGAATTAGTTCTAATACTAGTGTTTACGCGTGACGTCACGAACGGGCTTTCGAGCTGTACACCTTTTCCCGGGATGTAGTAGTCCTCTTTGATTCTACCGTAATTGGTATAAATATACCAAATTTGTGTACATTAATATAATTTATTGTGCAAATTAAAAATTTTTCATTTAACGTACTTTTGGCCATAACAAACACTCCCTTCCCGTTTTACTATATTAAAATTGTACCCATAATTTAAAATACTAAAATAATATTAAAAGTAAATCTAATTTTTTTTACCTCTGTTAATTCCTGGTTTTGAGGTAGTCTTATCTCAATACTCCTAATTTCCTGTATTTGCTTCACCGTTTGTTGTAAATCCGTATGCAATTTATGTTGAAGTTGTTTCTGTAACTTCATCTTTTGCTCAATATCGACTCTAGTATCTCCATCGGAAACTGCAATCCCTGCATACTTCATCAATTTTTCTTTGTCTGGTCCTTGAGATAATAACTGTTCGAGTTTTTTCGTTGACTGTTGAAATTGTGTCTTCGATATTGGTCGCGGGTTCTGTTTAAAGTCTTCAGTCTTATTGTTAATGGCCGCCGCAGCGTGAAATTGTTGATTAAATTTGGCGATGGTCTGTGCGAAATCTTCGTTTCGGTCGATAGATGATTTTGTTATGAAATGTTGAGCGGTTTGTGGGAGGTATTGGGCTAAGGCTTGAGCGTTGTTTATCGAAGGTTTCGGTCTTGGTTTTGATATGTTTTCGGGTTGAGATGCGTTTCGTTGATGGGTAAAAGTCTTCGGACAGTCGGTATAATCAGGTTGCGACACTTTTCTTTGATGCGATTTCGTCATATTTGACATTTCTGGTTGAACGAAATCTTTAAACCCACCTGAATCAGACGAATTTGAATCTGACGATTCAACGTGTGTTAATGTTTTACCATGGAGTTCTTTTCCGGTATTTAAAATAATTCCGCAGCAGTCGTTAGCGGCACTTGAAAGGATACTACAACATACTGTGCTGGGTGATGTGGGTTGTTTATGATCGGATGAGGGTTTGTGCCATTCAAAAGTCGTTGTAGTCGACTGATTATCACTGATTTTTTCACATCGATGCTGTTCTCCGAAATGAGTATCGGAAATGGGAGTAGGCAGTTTTGGTTTTGGAATTCCATGTTTATCTTGGGAGTTTTGAACGTGTAGATTAGAAGGTTTTCTCACCGCCAATTCATCCCCTCGTGTGGTCTTAGAATTATAAGGCACCGCTGTTTCGTTTGAGCCAATTCTCTTGTGCTGTTCGATTTGTTCTCTATTTCGAAAAGATCCCGTCCTTGTCACGTTCTCCTTATTCAATCGTTCATTGGATAATGGAACCGGGGGGACGTGTTTTGGTTTGTTTGCGATGCTGGGTTTAGGACCCAAAATTTTCGGTTTTTCCTTTTCCATGTTTTTACTGCATCGAGTACTGTTTACATCGTTTTCCGATTTTCCAGAACTAATACCCGAAATAGCGCAGCACCGATAAACATTAAATGTAATAAACACATTTTAAAACCGATCGGCACTAACTTTAACGTAACCGAAATTAAAGTATAAAGGTAAATATCATTTCTACGTGCTAATAAGCGTTCAGGCGTGTTCAACGGGGTTGGTTCACTCCCTCACTAAAATGCTTTTGATAAAAGCGCCGTCTGATGGGGGGAGTCTATAACATCGCACCGTTCAATAAGTTCAAGCTATAGCTGCTTCCAGACAAACTACCCTTACGTGTTAGGGTTTCCTCTTTTTTTTTATTTGAAATAAAATTATTTCGAAAATGATTATTTTCACGATTCAAGTTCATGATTCAATGAAACTAACACGACTACTTTAAAACGTGTCCAGTCTGCAAATTATATACAAGTACCATTCTCATAGTATATCAATTGCGTTTAGAATTTTAACAGAAGCGGTGTTTGTTCTTAAGAATCTGCTATAACAATGAAAAGTATTGAGTCATCAATGGATTTTAAAGAGATATGTCACGACTAGTATGACTAAAGAAATTAAATTATTTTATTTTTTTTTTACTTTTAAAAATTACCTTTTTCATTGAAAAATTTTAATCAAATTCAATTTTTTAACAGAATTTGCAATTGTAATAATTATTTTATAACTGTTGGAACATTCTTTATTGTTTAAAGTATAAAGAAAAAGAAAACTTTACCTAATTTGGTAATACATTAAAATCACACATCTATTACATAAAATAATTAATTAATATTTTTTAAAACTAATTAAAATGTTTGAATGTTTTCAAATTAAATTGAGCTTTTAGATTTATTACTAACAGTTTGGTATGTTTATTGCTGCCCGAAAATTAAACGGATGCACGAGTTTTGAAGCTTTTGAATTTTTCCCTGATGGCTGGAATCCAAAAAAGCCCCGTATATACTGCCACAGAAATTAAAGTGTGACAATACTAGAGAATCGCTAAAAGCTTTTTGGTGTGCCAGTCAAAATTATAGCAATTAGAGTAAATCAACTTTAACGAGCCATAAGCTCGACCAATCAACTGGTTAGGTGTTCCCTAAAGTTTAACGCCTCATCCATGACCAGTGCGAGGCTTTTGACAGACTTACTCAATGGAATAGGAGTATTTCCTATCGACAGTTGATAAAACCCATCAATAAATTTCTCTTTTAACTTCGGGGTTCCAAACAGAATGATCTGGGTCTTATTAGCGTTTATCTTTAAGCAATATTCCCGAACCCCATCGATAATGCCATGCAAGTCACGTTTAAACTTGTTGAAGCTTTCGTCAAAGTGGCCTTCAGAAAAGGACAAATAAATCTGAGTATCATCAGTATAATAGTGGACGCTACAGAAATCAACAAAGCTATTGAAATTTATCGTGTAAATTTTAAATAGTGTAGGGCAAAGAATCGGTCTGCAGATCTTATCTCCAAAGCACTTGACTTCGCCTGACTGATTGAATCTTGTCTTTAAGGTAATTTTTGAAAAAAGCTAATGAGACAGAATCAAGCCCGATATGGTCAAGAATTGATATTAACAAATCTTGGTTTAGAGTATCGAATGCTCTGGAAAAATCCAACATCCCCAGAAGAGTCAATCTATTGGAGTTAGTTGCAGTAACAATATGATCCACTATATTGTTTAGAACAGTTTCATAGCTATGTCTTTTCCTGAAACCAGACTGATTCACTAGAACAATGCGCTCAGCCTTCAGAAACTCCGTCAGTTGTCTGTTAGCTATTTTTTCCAAAACTTTTGATAAGAAACACAAAATGCTTATGGGTCTTAAGCATGAGTATTTGTTTGGACTTGGTACCTTCAGTACAGGTATCACGGTGGACCTTTTCCATACTAAAGGGAAAACACCTTCTAATAGACAAATATTAATAATATTTGTTATATGAGGTAAAGTTACAGGAGAAGCCATTTTTATAAATTTAATAGCATAATTCAGCTAAAATATCACTCTAAGACACCAACTTAAATGAGAAAACACCAGGACCAAATTTTGCCTTACAAAAGTCATTAATCAAATTATCAATCCTACAGTGGCCATAGCATTGAGCTTCCGAAAAGAAGTAATTTAGTTCGTCGCCGTTTTTTAAGTGTTGTGGAAGAGAATGAACCTTACATTGTAATAAATTGGTTTTTCGCAACACTTCCCGCGCGTTTTTCACACTAATAGCGGTATTCACAAAAAACAACGGTAAACTGAAACATAGTTCGATAAAAAGTGCAGCCTCTTCTGCAGTCATTAAATTTTTTTGTGTTTGTATGTTGTAAAAAAATTGAACGCATCAACTTAAGGTTTATGTGGATACTTAAAAATCTTGTTTCGTCTTACCATTTGTAAAATACCGGCGTGTCCACATAATGGAACGTGAAAGTGTGTACCATTATTCACTAGAGGTAAGTATAAAAGTGCAGCTGCTCGATATTCTGCGTCAGAGAAAACTATATGTCGAATTTGGCATCGAGGACAGCAATGCTTACGTGAAGGCTCAGTATCCTGGAAAAGTTGGCAGGAAACGAAAAACCGTAGATGTAGAAAAGCACAATTCTCCGTAAAATTAAACCTACATTGATTAAGCCCCACTCCAACGCAGTAAAACCATTCCTTACAGATCGCAACAAATTTCAGCGTTTGGACTTCTGCTTGGCAATACTTGATTCTGATAACATCGCTGTTGGTGCACCTATTTTTAAGGATATGACAAACTTCACTCATGTTGATGAAAAATCGAACATGTACTAACTTGCTCACGATGAGATAGAACCTTATCAAACATGCAAAAATAAGAGATTCATCGCAAAGGTTATGTTTTTGGCTGCTGTTGCTCGACCACGGTGGGACAATTATACGGTTGTAATCACTGATTTGATGGGAAATTAGGCATTTGGTCATTTATGAAACAAGAACCAGCCAAACGTAGAAGTAAAAATCGTCCAGCTGAGACTCTAGAAACGAAAGTCATTGAATCTGTGACCACAAGTGAATACAGAAACCTGATAGTGAATAAACTTCTGGCTGCAATTGAAGCTAAATGGCCTCGGTCTAATCATCGTACAACTATTTTTATTCAACAGGATACCGCAAAACCGCACTTTGATAAGAACGATAACAACTTCAATAAAAATGCTAGCGCTTTAAATTTCGCAAATACTCCAATAAAAATAATGTGTCAACCTCCTAACAGTCGTGACACTAATGTACTAGATATCGTTTTGTTTTAATGCCATACAAACACTTCAGTACCAAACTGATGGTTTAATCAACTGAGTCGAGATACACTGAATAAGGTCTTCCTATGACATCAGCAATGCATGATTGAAATCATGTAAGTAAATGGCGGCAACAATTATAAATTATGTTTAGACAAAGACAAACTGATTCGACCAGGACAGTTACCACTTTGCCTTAGATATGATAGGAGTCTCGTCGAAGCGGCTCAAGTAAAGATTGCCACTTAAGTAACACTCCTACTATTATTAGCTCCACACAGCTTTATATACATAGATATATGTTGTTTTATTAACCTTATATCATTATTATGTAAGAAATGTTGTTAGTAGAAAATATATTTTCAGTCATAGATCTATAAAACTTGTTTTAAAAACTTATTTTAAAACATACACATATTATGGCAGTTGATCAGGTTCATCATTCTTGCATTGATGAATATAATGATCATTTATAAACAGTTAATTAAGTGATAACCACAACGAATTTTAAATCTTGATATTCACACAGAGAATTAGATGTTATGCAACAAAACTATAGACTACTAGACCGTATTGTATCATTCACTAATTTTGAAATTGCGTCACAATGCAAAAATATAGAAAATACTACGAATTTTAGTGATTTTGCCAGAGATGAAGAAGACGATGAGTTTTCAGAGCAAGAATCATGTAGCATAAGCGATGTGGAACCGGAAATCAAGATAGTGAAGCGGATATATTTACTGCGTCGGAATCAGATGAAGAAGATAATGATAACCGAAGTGAAACGATTTGTAATCGTACGTGGAAATATATTGCTCCAAAATCTGTTGAACTCCCACGGTGTGTTTATCCACGTAACCTTTTGACGAATAAAAGTCGAAAAGTAAAATCTCAAAGTAAATAAGAATGGCGCCCCTCGACCCCATTCCGGGCATAAGGGACCGCCACGTGTACAGAGACATTCTAGAGATTGACATGCTTACCTGGGCACGCAAAAACATGGATCGGGGTTGGGTGTTCCAACTAATTGACTGGCCCAGACAGTCCCCGGACCTCAACATCATCGAACCGCTCTGGGACACTCTGGAGCGCAAGCTGAAAGGCGTTCGGGCACATCCACCGATGAAAAGATCCGGCAGCTGCAGGCAGAGTGGGCGAAGATTGACCATAGACTGTTTGATAGAATACATAGCCCGTAGATGTAAGACTGTCATCCACTAAGTATTAAGTTAGTGTTCACATAAAATTGTTACTGAGTACTTCAGAGTTCAGAGCTTTCAAAATAGCTTGTGTTTTTACGATTGTTGGATTTGCCATTATGCGTTATTTTGATAAATTATTTTGTTTATAAAATCTGGTGATCAAAACATGTTCGAGAAAAAGTTACACACATTACATAAAAATATGATACACTTTTGAGCGGTACTATATATGCCGTTAAAACCAGGGAAATCTATATATATATATAAAAATGAATGTTTGTTTGTATGTCCTTTATAGAATCGTAAACTATGCATTTGATCATGTTATGATCTTTAGCAAAGTTGTTGTGCATGAGCCCACGAAGGTTTCTAAGTTGGTACGACCAGTTTTCGACAATTCTCGAATGCTGATTCCTCAGCGAATTGGTGATCACCGTCAATATTACCATTTCCATCCGTGTGTGAACAGCCGGTTCAATTGGATTGGATACATTGTGAGATTCGGATTGCTGATTGACATCTAATAAATTCAAACGCATTGCAAAGCGACAAGCAGTTGGTCAATCTACACCTCAAGCACGAAATATTGTGTATTCCACAGCACTTCAATAAATGTCGAATTGAAACGAAACGCTGCAATGTCACAATTCTTTCAAATGAACATAATCAATAAAATGACTCAAAATGAATTGAATATTTGCGT